AGAGTCCTTTTTATTAATCAAATTCGAGAAGCTACTTTTTGCAGCAAAAATCGTCATCACAAGTGAAACCTCACAATCTCCTAAAGCACTTATGGAAAACCTAAAAGCTTCTTATATCCCGTCTGAAAACTTTAAATAAGGTGAAACACTAAACATAAGAAAGATTTCACTGTTCCCTAAAAAACAGCTGAGATAAAGCGAAAGTGAAAGATATAAAAAGCATTGCGAAGGATCTTGAAGAAAGAAAACCAATTTATATCCCAACTCAGATAAACACTTAATCCAACAAAACTAAAACTTATGCTAACAAGCACTTAAAACGTTGGTTGGCACATTACAACATATAAATACTATGTACTCATTAGAATTGAACTATTGCTCCTCACTTAGTTTTCTCACTTAGTTTTCCGCAGCCAGACTAAAATACTTTAAGTATACAAGGAGTACTATTGCAAGAATTAATAAATTTCTGAGATCCAATGTGGTCATACAATCTTGATATAAAATACAGTTTAAACAAAGGTCAACAAAATACAAAAAACGAAACCCTATGTAAATGATGGCTCCCACTATGACGTCGGCTAGAAATCTTACGACCATCACGACCGCTATCGCTGTGCCGCCCGTGTAATTCTCGTCTTTCCCTTACCAGAACGTCTTTTTTACGATCTCCTAAAACCACTAGATTCAGAACTTTGACTAGTCAGGAAATTTTGGTAATTAGTGATACTGTTATCACTTTGAAATATGAACTGCCTCATCTCCTTCCTCAAAACCCATAAGCAAATGATAAATTTTTGGTCATGGTAAATTAAAGTGAAGTGTCCTATGGAAACCATAAAACGCACGAATATCCTCCACCAAATACTTTTTCTTCAACAATCAACTTCACAACTCTCAAAATAAACTAAAAGTCCGACTGAAGACGGATAACTAACAACAAACAAGATTCAAAATGAACAGTGCATGCGATAAGCGTTTCAGTTTCCGAAAGTCTCTGCAAAAAAACTTACTCGAATGCATGTGATCTCGTCTCGTTTTCATTTTTCAATTCCAGAAATCGCTTCAATTCTCTACCTTCAAAACAAAATAATTTACTGGACTTTCGTCCGATAACATATCTTAAGCCTAAGCTGTATCAAGAAATAAGAAACAACGAATGATACCCACCGACAATGACGATTACAATAGACAAATTAAAAGCTCATCTACAGCTTCTGACGTGTCTTTCATAACATCTACAGCCTCTGACAGAGTGTTTTTCATAACCACTCAGCGATTTAAGTTCAATTATTGCAAAGTTTACGAAAAAAAAACCGCGCAGCAAATCTGTTACATTTTAAAACAA